GAGTGGCCCATTGACACCAACATTTTGGGTATCAATACACGGATGATTGAGATCAAACTATCATGGGATGACATATTTCAAATCTAACCTCGGATATTAAAGGGAAATAATTTTCTCCTGGAGACACTTTGTATTCAGTGGGTTTGATCTTGTTTCTGTTTTTCCTGATTTTGTATCATAGGAATACAAGATGAACAACATTTTACGGGTCATTGAACTTTATGACTAAACCAGTTGTTGATGTAGTATATGGTGGATCGTTCATGAGCAAAGAATTCCCTGAGATTTATGGTTGTCATGAATGAAGTATCAAAGAACCACAGAGCTTGACACACAAATGATGTAGAGGTTGGACCCTTGGGTTCACATTTAAACTCTCAGCTGAACAAAGAAAGAGAGAGGAAGAACGGGACAAAGACATGTCCCAAATGAAAAACCCAAATGGACCTTATCATGAAACATCTCACTGCTGGTCAAGAAAAGGTAAATGTTGTAGGTGCAACAAACTGGTATGAGGAGCAAGATGTTGACTTTGATGAGGAGGCAAAGTATTTGAAAAATCTGGAGTGGGTTTCCGAAATTATAAGTCAGGCAACCAGGGTTATAATGATGTATATCAAGGTAGGAACTATCAGCAAGATGGCCAATATGAGGAAACAGAGAGCAAGACAACTGACAAACACGAGAAGGGATACAAAAATAAGTAAAAATGGTGTGTATGTACCTGGACCTCCAGGTAACAAAGATCGAACAAGTAGTGGTTCTAGCGGATCGAGGATGGAAGATATGTTTTAAAAAGGTTCTACATATAAGTTTTCGAGTAGATAACAAATACTTTAAACAAAAACAAGATCTACAACAATTGCAATTATGTAAACAAATTAACACAACAGTGGAGATTTGCAGAGACTCAAACTGTACAGTAGCAAAACTCAAAAGTAAAACACTTCATTCAAGCTTAGGGGGTTAGTCAACAGTCAACACCAAATTGAATACTTTATAAATGTTTTTATATTGATAAATAAATAGCTGGCAAATTAAATATTTTCATCTTTTACTCCAGACACACTTGATAAGAAAACAAATCTCTAATTTTTTCTCACTACTTTGAGAAACTTAAGTAGTTTCTCACATAATGTGCATTATCATTATGTTATTTGTGTTAGCTTCAACTCTTTGAATATTCTAGATTTCTTTTTGAAATACCTTTAATTAAGTAGTAGATAAATGTTTAACACTTCTTACGAGTTTTAACTGTTATAAAAGGTCTGTTGGTCAGAATAAAATAACAAAAAAAACTTCAATGGATCATGTTGACATTCAAGATATGTTGGATTGGCTCTATTAATAGTAGATTTCAAAAATTGACAAACAATACCATGCAGAATTTGAAGAAGCAAGTAGAAGGCACACATCTTGCGCAATTAACTTCTGATTCAACTTCTTCTATTCCACCAATCGAAAAATATAAAGTGGTTATTTTCGATAGACTTTAAATTTGTCTAATTTATTATGTCTAAAATACAGTAAGTCAGTATCAAATAAATTAGCACTTACTAATTGAACTTAGCTTTGCACAGAACTCTGAAGCAACATATACTCCCTTCGTTTCAAAAAGAATGATTTCTTTCTTTTTTAGTCTGTTTAAAAAAGAATCACCTCTTTTCTTTTTTAATAACATTTTAGTTTCAGCTTTTCAAATGAAATGTTTAAAATCACAAGATTGAAGGGCAATTTAGTACTTTTGAACCACAAGATTCAAAAAAAAAAATTATTTTCTAAAATTTCATGTCAAGTCAAACCATATCACCATATTTTATTGATCTTCTATATGTCGTAAATTAGAGGAATAAAGAAGAAAAAGAATTGATGTCTTTGTTTATTAGTACCTATTTTTTTTCCCTTTCACATGAAAAGAATTAAGTGCAATTATTGAAGATGAAAGATAATTGGAGGATGAATTTTGATTGAAAAAACATCAAAGAATTGCTCATTTTGTTTAAGAGTACTGTAGATCACATTTATGCTCACTCACTTGCATCTCTAATCATTAATTAAAATTATTTGATACACATCTATTCTGATCATTATTCTTTACTTGCAGGATTAGATTTATGAAGAATTAGAAGAAACTGAAAAAAGATGGCTCAAGAATGTGGTGCAGTGATAGGTGCCATAGACTTTCTGAAGAGAAGACATTTAGATAATTTCCTAATTAATCATCAATTGAACGATACTAGATCTCAACTAGTATGTGTGTCTCTATTTCAGGCAAAACTTGAGGAGGTTTTCCTTGAGAACACGATATCGACACACGTAGGGGCCTTATTTCAACAAGCTAATGATGGATTTTCTGAGATATGTACTCACATGAATCAACTGTACACCATCAAAATGGCAAAGCCGCTGGAAATATTTAAACTCAACAACGTTGCTGAGCGACTCGAAGCAGGTTCAAAGCCATCAATATCAAGTAGAGAAATGATATTACAGGTGTTGGAAATACTCCGACCCGAGAATATTGCTGAAAAAATCAAAGCTTCAAAGTCGTCTAGCAAAATCAATACTATGGAGATGGTGAGGTTTGTCGATTTTTCGCTTACTTATGTAAAGGATCATGCCCTTGTGGATCTGCGATGTCTATGTGCTTTCTTCATATTATGTGCAAGTCGATGCATTGAGCATGAGAATATGCATGATTTCTTCATCCATATTGAGAATGTAGCTTATACTTCACTACAACTATATTTCAAATGGATCAACGAATATATACATGTGAACATTATGAGGGGCACAGTTCGATAAGTTTTTCAAGTCCTGATTTAAAGCAGATGCATATGAACCTCTTGACAGCGTTAAAATCATCAAAATCAGAGACTACATTGAATTGCGAATGTATGATTGATTTTGTTTATGCTCTAGAGGATATAAAGGTGCATCTACACTGTTATAAAATTTTGGGGCTCAAAGAAGAACTTCTTAACAGTGTTTTTTTCTACGGTGCATAGAACATGGAGGCACTCAACTAAGAATATTCAGTTCTCTTCAGTCAATTATTGAAGATCTGATGTTTGAGGCAACATTAGTCTTCAAAGACTATGATAAGGATCTTCTTTTTGTTTTGAAGCCGAAGCTCAATCATGTGAATGTAGTAATCAAAATGATTCAACTACGTGACAGTGAAGCAACCTTTCTCCTGAGAGCTGATAGTCTTAAACTGATTGACTATGCTTCAGAAGAGCTGATAATCGTGACAAATTTTCTCATGGATTCATTGGAGCAGTGCAAACAGCAACCTAAGATAAATGATCTTTTAACTCTTATCCAATCTGTGACTAACGAAGCATGTTCAGCTGTTAAAAATCTTTTATTTTATGAAAGACGAGAAGACTTGGTCTGGGAAATGAATTGCTCACATTTTTAATTGCTTCTTAAGTTCAATTTTATCAAGGCAACAATTAGACAGATGTGTTCCACCATTTGTACTTGCTCAACTGAGATACATCTGCTGAACTTTCTTCCTATTAATTTTGAGTTTATTGGTTCTTACATAAACTCCTCAAAGAAATCATCCTCTGGTCACCTGGATTTAGTTGTGATGGAGTTTCATGAATATTTTATTGACAACATGCTACTGAAGCATGAAACTGATTAGTCATTTACAGTTGCAGATGATATTAAAAAGTTCTACGATGGATTGCTCGTGTTAACATATCTTCTTGATCCTCTATCTCAATGCAGTGGATTTGGAACTATTGTAATTGAGGCCGAATCTGTGAAAAGCAACAAAAACAATTTAGTTCTTCAGCTTTTGACTGTGGCTTTCAAGTTTATCGAATGTGGGAAAAGCTTGATGGATCTATAGAAGGCCAAAGCCACTTGGGAAGCTAAAATTCTAGATCTGATTAAAAGTTCTCATCAAGAGCTTATTTATCTAAGAGTTCTTCTCATAGATGTTCTCAGGCAAGACACAGTCCATAATGTCTTAATGCATGCTGAAGTAACTGCCAACAAGATAGCAAAAATCATCAAGGGAGGAAGCACTGAGGAGATTGGGCTTTTATTATCTGAGATTGAGTCTGTCAAGGTAGAGATAAGAAAAGTATGCTATCAATTTCTGGATGCATCACCTTACAACATGACAGAGGGCGAAGACCTTATTACATTGTTATCGGAACTCCAGGACTGGCTGCTCTAATTTTAAACTTGTCCAATTCCTTTTGTGAAGAACCAGATCCCAGTAATCAAAGACAAACTATTTTATTTGGGATCTTTTATTGCAGATATTGTAGAACATTGTGATATGCTTAAAGAGCTCAAAGACCTTGTGAAACATGTTAAAGATATTAAGTTTGTCTGTCTCTTTCCGATCAGGGATTCTGCACCTTCTTGGTGTTACAGGCTATATCTTTGTGATGTTAATCAATTGTTTAAGTTTGTCGAGACAGAGGTCGAAATGGTTTGTCTCAAAGTTTTAGATTCTTCAAGTCATAGCTTCCCCAAGATAAATGAACTAGGATTTCTCGATTATTTCTTGGGAAAATCGGATGAGATGCTAAGTTCTAAGATCAATTCAGTTATCGACTTAAAACTTGGCTCCCATCTAAGGGATTTCACTCGGATGAATCCTCTTATTTTCTATGGGTCTAAGGTTGAAGAAGACCCCCAAGAGTTCATCGATGAAGTCTACAAGATACTCTTGGATATGGGGTTATCTACTAGTGAGAAGTCTGAGTTAGCCACTTATCAACTTAAGGATGTGGCTCAAGTGTGGTATGTCCAATGGAGGGATAGTAGGTCATTAAGGGGTGGTTTCAGTGACTTGGGAGATCTTCAAGAAGGATTTTCTTGATCGGTTCTTTCCTAAGGATCAAAGGGAAGCTAAAGTGGTGGAGTTCATCAACCTTCGCCAAGGAGGTATGAGTATTCATGAATACTCTTTGAAATTCACTAAATTGTCAAAATATGCTCCTTCTTTTGTTTTCGATCCTAGAGATGAAATGATCTGCTTTGTGACGGGGGTATCAGATGACTTGCAAGAGGAGTGTCATTTGGCTATTCTACATGACAACATGAAAATTTCACGTCTTATGGTGCATGCCAAACATGTGGAAGAGGCAAGGGCTAAGAAGAAGGGTAGAGATGCTAAAAGGGCAAGATCTTTTGAGGTAAGTTTTTCAAAGAATAGGCTTGAGATACTCAAGTTCCATCCAAGTTCCCTAAGGCTCGTGATGATAAAGTGACTAAACCTAGAGCCCAAAAGGGAAGGAATGGAAACTCACCTAATGAGAAGCCTACATGTGCCAAGTATGGAAAGGGTCTTTTTGGTGAATGCTTGGTTGGAACGGGCAATCGTTTTGGTTGTGGCAAGAACGGCCACAAGGTTAGGTATTGCCCAAATATGAAGGGTTAAGAAAAGGACGGTCAAGATCAAGAAAGTGGTTCAAATGAGGCTCCAAATAAGAACCGCATGTATGCTCTCCACTCTAGGGGTGAGAAAGAGACTTCTCCCGACGTGGTGACCGGTATGCTGAAAGTCTTCTCTATTGATGTATTTGTCTTACTTGATCGCGGTGCTACTTTGTCATTTGTTACTCCTCTAGTAGCCAAAAAGTTTGACATTTTGCCAGATATTTTGCATAAACCTATTATAGTGTCTACTCTGGTGGGTGAGTTGGTTGTTGCAAAAAAAGTGTATAGAAATTGTCCAATAATGTTGCCTAATAGAGTTTGGTATGTTGAACTAGTAGAACTTGATATGCTTGATTTTGATGTCATCTTGGGTATGAATCGGTTGCATGCTTGTTTTGCCTCTATTGATTGTAGGACAAGGGTGGTGAAGTTTAACTTTCCAAATGAACTCGTTGTAGAGTGGAAGAGGGGAAATTCTTTTCCTAGAGGTCGTATCATCTCTTGTCTATAAGCATGCAAAATGATCTCTAAACGTTGTCTGTACTATATTGTAAGAGTCCAAGATTTAGACTCATGAATTCCTGCCATTGAGTCGGTCCCCGTAGTGAGTGAATTTTTGGAGGTACTTCCTAATGATCTTCCCGGTATTCCTCCCAAACGGGAAATTGATTTTGGTATCAATTTGCTACCGAATACGAATCCCATTTCAATTCCTCCTTATTGGATGGATTTGGCCGAATTGAAAGAGTTGAAGGCTCAACTCAAAGATTTACTAGACAAATGCTTCATTAGACCTAGTATTTCTCCATTGGGTGCTCCGATTTTGTTTGTGAAGAAGAAGGATGGGTCCTTAAGAATGTGTATTGATTACCGCCAACTCAATAAAATCACAATCAAGAACAAGTATCCTCTTCCTCAGATTGAAGGCTTATTTGATCAACTCCAAGGGGCAAGCTACTTTTCTAAGATTGACTTGAGGTTGGGATATCACCAACTTAGGATGAGGTGAGGATAATACCAAAGACAGCCTTTCAGACTAGATATGGTCATTATGAGTTCTTAGTAATGTCCTTTGGCCTCACTAATGCTCCGGCAGCATTTATGGACCTAATTAATAGGGTGTTTTGAAGTTACCTAGGGTCATTTGTCATTTATTCATTGACGACATCTTGGTATATTAGAAAAATGAGGGTGATCACATGAACCATTTGAGGGTGGTGTTTCAAGTACTTAAAAAACATCAATTGTTTGCCAAGTATAGCAAATGTGAGTTTTGGTTGAGGTTGGTGACATTTCTTGGTCATATCATCTCTGGTGAGGGAGTTGAGGTTGATCTAAGGAAAATGGGAGCGGTGAAAAATTGGCCTAGACCATTGACTTCAATGGATATTAGGAGTTTCTTGGGTTTAGTGGGTTATTATCAAAGGTTTGTGGAATGTTTTGCTTCCATTGCATCTTGCTAGATTACTTTGATCCAAAAGTGTAAGAAATTTGAGTGGTCGAAGGCATGTGAGAGAAGCTTCCAAATGTTGAAAGATATGCTTACTTCCGCTCTGGTGTTGACTTTACCGGAAGGTACAAAGGATTTTGTTGTGTATTGTGACGCATCCCGAGTGGGTTTGGGGTGTGTGCTTATGCAACATCGAAAGGTGATTGCTTATGATTCTCGGCAACTTAAGGTGTATGAGAGAAACTATCCAAATCATGACCTTGAGTAAGAGGCCGCGGTATTTTCCTTGAAAATATGGAGGCATTACTTGTATGGTGTCCATGTTGATGTGTATACCGGCCATAAGAGTCTCCAATATGTGTTTACCCAAAAAGATTTGAATCTCTGACAAAAAAAATTGGTCAGAATTGTTAAAAGATTATGACATGAGTGTCCTCTATCACCCCGGTAATGCCAATGTGGTTGCGGATGCTCGAAGTCATATGACTATGGGTGGTGTGTCTCACATAGAAGAAGCCAAGAAAGACCTAGTGAAAGATGTTCATAGGATGGCTAGGTTGGGTGTAAGGTTGGAAGATTGTCAGAATGGTGGTTTCATGGTCCATCATAACTCCGAGTCATCATTGGTAGTTGAGGTGTCCAAACAACACCTTGATATATCATTGATGGAGTTGATGGAATCGGTCCTTGGCAAGCTTAATGAGGCATTCTCCTTAGGGGGATGGTGTTTTGAGGTACCAAGGAAGATTTTGTGTTCCCAAGGTAGTTGAGTCGAGGGATCGGATCCTTAAGAAAGCCCATTGGTCCCTCTACTCCATTCATCCGGGTTCGACAAAAATGTACCATGACCTTAGGAAAATATATTGGTGGGAAGGTATGAAGAAGGGCATAATGGAGTTCATCGCTAAGTGTCCAAATTGCCAACTAGTGAAAGCCACACATCTTAAACCGATTGGCTTACTACAAGAAATCAAAGTTCCTACTTGGAAGTAGGAAGACATAAATATGGATTTTGTAGTGGGTTGACCTCTGACTCAAAGACAATATGACTCTATATAAGTGGTTGTGGATAGGTTGACCAAGTCTGCTCACTTAATTTTCGTCAAGTCTACGTATTCGGCGGAATATTATACTAGGATCTTCATAGATGATATTGTGTGTCACCATGGTATTCCGTTATCCATCATATCAGATCGGAGTGCACAATTCACATTTAGGTTTTGGAGGTCATTAAAAAAAGGGTTGGGTACTAAGGTGAAGTTGAGTACCGCTTTTCATCCCCAAACGGAAGGTCAAGCGGAGCATACTATTCAAGCCCTTGAGGACATGCTTAGGGATTATATTGTTGATTTCAAGGGAAATTGGGATAAGCATTTGCTGTTGGTGGAGTTTTCTTATAATAATAGTTTTCATTCATCCATCTCCATGACTCCCTATGAAGCCTTGTATGGTAGGAGGTGTAGGTCTTCTATTGGGTGGTTTGAAGTGGGTGAGAATTTGCTTCTTAGTCCCGATTTGATTTATAGGACTTTAGAGAAAGTTCATATCATAAGGAACCGATTGCAAACGGCCTATAGTTAGCAAAAGTCTCATGCCGATCATAGAAGAATGGATTTGGAGTTTGAAGAAGGTGATAATGTGCATTTAAAAATTTCACCTATGAAAGGGGTGGTTAGATTTGTCAAGAAAGGGAAGTTGAGTCCTTGTTATGTGGGTCCCTATGAAATCTTGCAAAGTGTTGGTAAGATTGCCTATGAATTGAAACTTCCTAATGAATTGGCTTCGGTTCATCCAGTTTTCCAAATTTCCATGCTTAAAAAGTGTATTGGTGATCTCAAGTCTATTCTTCCTATTGAGGGTCTTGGTATGAAGGATAACCTCTCTTATGAGGAAGTTCCAGTACAAATTCTTGATAGGCAAGTCAAGAAGTTGAGGAATAAAGAGGTGGCTTCCGTAAAGGTTTTATGGAAGAATCACCTAGTTGAGGGTGAGGGAGGCCGAGGCCGACATAAAGTCTCGTTACCCTCATCTACTTGATAACTAAGGTTAGTATTTCTTACTAATAATAAAAATAATTACTAAAAACTGAAGTTGCTTTGATTTTTAGTAGAGTTTTGGAAAAAGTGCATTTTTGGATATTGTTACAGTGATTTTCTGTGAAATTGTGCATTTGAACTTGAAATTTTGCTCTTTGGCTTGTTTTGAGTTATGTCGTACATTTTGATATGGTGAGTCTTCATGAAATGGAATATAGCATGTTGGTAAGTTGAACTTTGACTTAATTGACTCATGTAAAGCATGTTGAGATCATGTTGTTGTTATGAGAAAGATATTTCTCATAATGTAATGTTAAGCCTTATGTGTGGTAATTGAAGTTTTGAATTGCCTTGTGTAAGTGATATGATTAATATTGTTATGCAGCATTGTTGGTTGGGCTGATAGTCTGGAGTCTATTCCTTCCTTTTAAAGATTTTTAGTGTCATTCGGGAAAGAATATTCCTAAAGGGGGGATAATGTAATTTTTGAAAATCTAAGACGTGTCTTAAAGTCTAACATAAGTGTCATGAGGTTCAAAAACTATTTCAAGGCCTATTTTAATGTTTACAAGTCATTTATGATGTTTGGGAACGAAGAACGTCCATGACGTCCGCAAACTAGTTCTAGTGAGGTGCTAGCGTGCCTAAGCCTATTTGACGAGCTTGTAGGAGTCGGAAATCCATTAAAATTAGTGAAAGGGTAGTTCATAGGTGTTTAAGTTAATACATGGTCGAAATGTCTGGGTATGACTCCCCAAGGACAAACCAAGGACCCTTGCACGTTGGTGTCAACACTGCCTTGGCAGTATGCACCCATGGAGGGTCAATCGAAAGGGCGTGTGTTGATCGACGGGGCATCGATACCAGCCATCAACCAAAACTTATCCATTTCGTTGAAGAGTCTCAATTTCATAGTCTCGGAACTCATGGACGGATGTGCAACACGGAAGAGCACAGTGACCGTCGACTCACAAACGGACCGTTGATCGGGGTCTCGTCTGTGAGGGTCGAACTTTCCTGAACATTTAAACTTAGTTTCATTTAATTATTTAAGGGGTTAGGTGGTTAATTAAGGGTTTAAGAGAGTCTAATTAATTTAATTAACCCCCTATATAATGACCCCAAACCTCATTAGACTAAACATCACTCACAAAACAAATTCTCTTCCATCTCTTTTCTTTCTCTCTCTATTGGAAGACACCATTGAAGAGTAGATAAGGGAGGGTTTTTGGGGCTGTAAATGGACTATTAACCATCAAATATTCATCAAACGTTAAGGTATGTGATCTAATTCACCTTTGAGACCTCTTTCTTCAAAGGGTTCCTTCAAAGTGTTTTAAAAAATTGGGTTTTCATGTGGTTCTTCTCAATCTCGAAAATTATGGTATGAATTGTTTTTTTTATGTTTTCTGTTGGATAGTATGAACTTATTAACATGTATCTTAACCTAATAATGATAAATGTTGATGATTTGGTCTAGTTGTAGAAGATGACCTTCAACCCTTAACCCTAGGT